TCATCACGCAATACCAAGGTGGGCCACTTACCGTAACTTAGTCCGGTACTCGAGACCACCCGGAACCAGTAGTGGGACACACAGCAATCCGGACTAAACTTGATTTAGAGTTACTGGTGGAAGGCCATCCTTATATAAGGCCTCAGCTCCCGCGTAATAGTAAGGCATTCTTCCCTCCGGTTCATTTTTTGGACCAGTGACCTGTATCCAAAATGCCTCGAGGGTTTTTCGCGCTGCGGTCTGATGTTCGCGCGCCATGACCTCGGCCGTGACCCCAAAATCCTCTCCGTTATGGATTTGAACCCTATGGGCCCCTAAGGCAGTTGACAGGCGGGAGTTGTTTTTGCCGTCCAGGTGTTCCTTTACCCCTGAGATTGTGCAGTCACCCTCCCTACCGGTCGGACAGACCACACAATTAGGGGTGGTACATGAGCGGTCGTAGAGCCGATTGCGTACGAGGCGATGCTTGAGATTATTGGGTGGCACATCTAAAATGGCAACTGTGTTTTGTAAACCCGACCTCCTCAAACACTTCCTAATGGAGATGCTAACCTCCTCAGAGATGAATGGTACCATAAATGGGATTTTGCCATCGAGGAAATTACCACCGGGTCTGTTGCCCGGGCCGCCATTTCTTGCTCTGTGGGAGGTCGGAAGGTTTCCCGTAGCCATTGAGCTCAGCTATTTCACGCGCAATCGCCAGTGATTCCTTGCGCTCATCCTCTCCAGTGCAAACTCTAGCCGCTGTTCGGAACATGTTCCTCACAACAGCTCGCTTGGTCTGTGAAGGGTGGGCTGACTGACAGTGAACGATGATGTTCTTGTTGCTGGGCTTCCTGTACCATTTCGTAGAAAGCATGCCACCCTGCAATTTAACTTGAATGTTCAGAAACGGGAGCCAGCTTCCTGAGGGCTTTTCCCGTGTCAGCTTTATATGCTCCGATTGGGTGTTAAGGAGATCGAACACATGTCCATTTGCTCTTGCGTCGAGCAGACCACGAAGCAGTCATCGATATAGCGACAGTAAAGCATGGGGTGGCTTTCCAATACAGGCGCTTCGATTTTAGACATGAAGGCTATGGCCAAGGTAGGCGCCAGTCGTTGCCCCATAGCTAAACCTCTAATCTGCTCGAAATACCTACCCGACCATCTAAAGATATTGCAATTAAGGCACTCCTTGAGCACCGTCATCAGCTGGGTGATAGAGAGCCCATGCATATTGATCTCGCTGTGGTGTTCATTTAGTAGCTCGAATACGGCTTCCATAGCGGAGTCATTGCTTACGTTGGTGTACAGGCTCTCTACGTCAAATGATTCTATTACGCAGGCACTGCTTGGTTGCAGTGCGTGAAGGTGGTCCAGAAACATTTGGGCAGCGAGTGCTCCAAGCAAAATTGTCCCCATTGCAAACAAATGCACGACATCAGCGTGTGTTTCAGCAACGGTCCCGCACAAAAAGGGAACGGTCCCTACACCTCTCAGGGACCAAGAGCTGGCTTCCAGCCCAGAGCCAATGATGCAGAACAAAAAGCCCCCTATCACAACAGGGTGGAAAGACAACCGTGGACTAATAACGGCCCAAATGATGCTCGAAACAGCAGACCCTGCAAAATAGAGCAACGGCCAATAACGCATGTGTCAGTTCTGACAACACGAATAATGTACCACTAAAAGCAAAGAGCAAAAATCGTTCTAAATGACAGCGGAAGGTAGTGTTTGGAACTATAGGACACAAAAATTCGAGAAAATACACTATTTTTCTTTGATACAGGAGCTCAAAGGACTCTAATCAGGGAACAAACAGCGCAGGACCTCGCGCTACCCAAAGAATCAACCGAAATTTGTGCCATGTCGGGAATTGGTGGGCACCCGAAAGTTTCAAAGTAGTGTGGTCTCGCTCAGGGTGTGCACCGCTTATGGCATGCAAATCGACATGAAAGCCCAAACAAACCTAATTACAAATGGGTTTCTCCATCGGTAAACTTATCAAATGAACACAAAAACTTCCTACAACTGAACGAACTCTGCATATGTAACCCGCGCGTTCGAGGAGAACATCAAAATCCGCATATACTGATCGGATTAGATTACTACTATCAAGTTGTTCCTCCTAACAGCAACCTTTGCATATTGCAAAAACAATCTTTGGCCCCAGCATTCCCGGCAAAATGTCCCGTTCTGTTGGGGAATATAGGTTCAGTGGATTTGTAAGATTTATTGGCGACTTAATAACGTGAGTCAGACAGTATGTATAAGCGCCCCGTATCATTCGGGCACGGGTTTATATAGGGACCAATGATACTGGGGAACACAATAACAAGTCATATGGCAAATAGTGCAATCTAAAGGGATATTGTTATCTGGAGGTCGCGCGGAGCGAGACACTCCGCGCGCCCCCTTACATTTAAGCTTTCAGGAGACAAATCAAGTTCAACAATTTGACTACTTTGATTTCAATTACATAGGTTGGGCTTATAAATGTCATGAAGCATGAACTAGAGAGAAATACACATGAATATAAGCAAACAAATACACATACTTAAACCAATGATGGAACGGAGCTGGTTGAGTCCTTCGTTGATCGTGGTGGAGTCGAATCGGTTGTAGAGCATCTAATTCTTTCTTCTTTTGGCAGGAATATTACCATGGTGCCCTCTAGATGGGCAGAGTAGAAAATTGTGAGGCATCCTGCAGTTCTGGCACAAGACGCCACAGTCACTTTGGTGTGCACTTTTTAGGCATCTTGTCCACAGACCCAAATTAGATGCTTGGAGGGCCTTCGAAACAGCGTCTGGTAAGCGTGGGCATCTACCAGAATTGTGCGAGTCGACGTTGTCCGTTACAGTACAGAATACACACTGTGATTTGGGTGTGGACCTGTCGACTAGCAGCTGAAGTTTAGCGATTCCGTTTAACGAATAATCGACTAACAAGTATGCTCGGATCCGAGACCTTTCGTTAAATTAATCACAGTTGATCAATAACGATTTTATCGAAATTAATAATACAAAACAAATTAATGAATCACGATCCGAAGATCGCAGAGAGAGATACAATTAAAACGTTGAGAGAAGAACCTCGTTATAAATGACCCGAGCCCTATTTATAGGAGATACGAATATGGGCGTGTCCCTGTAGTTTGACCCGCTGTCGATTGCCCAAGAGTAGAGATGTGCCCAAGGTACCGTGCAACTTTCCATCGACGCGGGGTCGATCACTCGAGGTACTAGTGCTATGCGTAATGCAAAAACAACCTATCGATGTGGGTCATTTACAACTCAACATTAGTATATTACATAACAACAACAATTAGTTATACTGTGAACATTTCTTACAGAATGAGCCATGAAGAAACCATGTGAAACGGCCCAGAACCCGAGAAATGGGACCCCTTCCTTGCCCGTTGATTTCCGCATTGATGCGACTCTCATCGCTGTGCCCTCTTCAACACTACGCTCTCTCTGCTATCTAATCACTCGCCACGTATAGACCTGCGGCGAGTGATTAGATGATCGGTGGGCGTACCCCGCATCCCGCGCCAACCCACCCACCAGTGATCATTGCTTAGTACGCCTAGCAAATCTTTCGCTGCCAATTGCGCGTCGGTCAGCTACTCTAAGGAAGTCCGCCTGTCTCCCAATAAGCAATTTTCCTCTTCTCTGACCGAATCTTATCGTGAATTCCCTTCAAGGCTCGCTCACCGAGGAGTCGGTATGCAGACACTGCGAAATTGCTATGCTTCGAATGAGGGCAAAATAGGACTGAAAAGGCATGTTGCTCGAATTTTGCCCAAGCTTATCACACGCAGCACCTGTGCTAAAGTCACACTCTAGGCGGTAAAAACTACGATGAAAATGTTCCGAAATCGATAATAGTTCAAGCTCCACCTTCGTACCAGTTCACTTCAAAAGACCCTGTGATGCAACATTCTGGACTTCTGGTCGAGCACGTAGCTTTCTACAAGAATTGATCGGCGACGCACTTTCATTTGAATATGTTAAGGCAGGCCGTATAATTTGCAAGAATTCTCTTCAATTTCCGTTATGGAAAACTCCACATTCCATTTCAATCGGGCGCATTTGCGTGCCACAATTCTTGCTCGTGAGCTTGTATTTACAGTAGCACGAGCTTCACCAGCTTATTACAATCGTCTTTGAGCCCTAAAGCACATTCTTAGGAGCTCTTGCGAAAATTCAGATTCCCCATTGCGGGTACTATCAGGTGTTTAAAGCTGACCCGTTCAAATTGTGCCTCCATCTGTGATATTAGCTCACCCCAGAGGTTTATGATGTGTGTTGCGTGACGTACTGTCATAGGATGATAATTTGGGATCTGCATTTTTCGCCCAATTCGAAACCCCTTGGGCAGCCCTTTACCATTCCCTTCATGTCTTATATCATAACCTAAGGTACGAAGTACCTCGTCCGCGCCCCAGGTGCACCTTTTTGTAGTTACTGTAATGATGACGTTTGTGTGGCCACGTACAGCACACTGCAGCTTACGCTAATTTTATTGGAATTCGAATTTTGAAAAGAATTTTCGTGTTAGCTGCTATAACAGTGGAGTCGCTGTTTCCTATATTTGTGTGAGTTTTAAGAAAATTAGTAGAGTTGTGTGCCATTCGAGTCTAAGAACCGTGTGGCGGCTCACCTTTTGTTTTGCCGGCGTGTGTGAATCTTTTTTTTTATTTTGCTGGCTGTTTTCTTATTTTGAAAAGCACTTATGTATACTCCATATCTCGAAGTCGCGTGATTATGGGTTTGACGTGGCTGCTGCCGCACTTGATGAAAGTTGCGCGGATAAGATGCCCTGCTGATCCTCTGCTGGAGTACGTTGAAACAGCATATCCTCACGGCTTTTATCAAGTGCGGCAAAGGCCACGTAAAAATCCATAGCCACGCCTAATCTGACTTCGAGATTTCGACTGTAGTTCTTGGTGTTCCTGCCATTACCGCCTACAGAAGTCGTTTTCCTTTTTGGTTCCAGGTGATATTCACCACATGGAGGAGGTTGAATCCACTCCTATTGAGGACTTTCGTTTTCCGTGGGAACATTTGGCCGACTTTTACGCTGTTTTTCAACAGCGAAATTCAACAGACGAAACTACACTCGATTACGATTGCTGTTTGTCTAGAGTTCATCTAAAGTAAGTCCATTCCATCCCGATTCCACTTCGCTAGGAATATTTGTTAATTCCATTCAATCGTTAGAAACTGATAAGCTTGAAAAACAGTTTCCGGTGCTAACTTAGTTGGGGGGCCACGCGGCGGCGCGGCAGTCTGCTCGCCTGGCATGTTCGGAAATCCGTGGGCCAGGGGGAGTGTAGCCAGCCTAGGGGGGGGGGGCAGTCACTTGACATGCGTGAAAAGCTGGAATGTTCGAGTTTACACTGTCTTGTCTCGCTCGAGAGAGCCCCAGTTGAGCAGACTGCCGCGCCCCGCGTGCCCCCGCCCCCACAACTAACTAACTATATTTCCACCCTTTTCGCACGTATCTGCGTATTCGCGCTGGCTACATCTGCAGTCACTTGATTGCACACTTTCATTACTCGTTCTTATCCTTACGCTCATTAGTTCTTTCATAATGGCTCACGCAGCAAGATACCGCTGCACGAAACAAAGGTAGTGGCTGATAAGGCAGCGAACGTGCGCTGCGCGAGGCTTTATCGCTAGGAAAAAGGGTAATGCTGAGTGTTTGATAACGCTTATTTAACCCATAACGGACGGCCAGTGTATTTCGCGTGCGCCACCATGTGGCGCACGCCGCCACCCAGGGTAGGGTTTATGTAGGCTTATGTGAACAGCAGGGGTAAGACGGGGCTAAAGTAGGTGTCGGAGTCTCATCATCCGAAAAAAGAGATTTCCGTTGACGACAAGTTCGTAGCCCGCCTTTCCGCTCTAAAACTAGGGTGCAAAGAATGAATGGAAGCTGTAGGTGACATTATCGAAAAATGCGAAACAACAACCCCGAGCAAGGATGTGGCTATATTTAGGGGAAGGGGTCTCGGGACGTGCGAACCATGGGTAAGCCACCCATCAAATAGTAAACTTATGTAAATTAAGACAAAATGTATGTAAAATTTATTGTAGGTTTGTCAAAAATCCAGCCGTCCAGGTCCTGGGAAGATATGTTATTCCACATTGCTGAGAGTATATATGGGTATATTAAGATTGCTAGAAACATTCCAAAAACAAAAGAAATAGTCGTGCGCCACCTTGTGGCGCACGCCGTCCGTTATGGGTTAACTTCCTATTTGTAAGCCAGTATTGATGGCATATGAAAGCATGAATGAAAAACGCTTCTCTCTCCATTTGGATTCTGATGGCCTGATACTCGTGACCGTATGCAGAATGTTGGGTAGGGACGGGGATGGTAATGTTGGGACGGCTGTCGTAGAACCTTAATGCACGGCCGACTTTTATTTTAGCATAGCTTTGTTCCATGTTTCTTTCATCTTCTTTTGCGCAAAGAAAGGTATTTACGTGCGAATATCATTCAGAAACAGTCAAAGTATGGGAGCAAAGCTGCAAAATCAAAGGTGCCCAATGGGTCTGCGACGAACCTACCCATCCCCGTCCCCTACCCAACATTCTGCATACCGCCCCATATCTCGAAGTCAGATAAGGCGTGTCTATGCATTTGACGTGGCGGCCGCAGGATAAGGTAGAAGTGACGCGAATAAGCTGCTTCCAGCACATTTGTTGATATTCAGCGGAGTAGTTATCGCCACTGCGACTTCTATCTAGTCCGGTGGTCGCCACGTCAAATTCATAGGCACATCTAATCTGACTTCGAGATATGGGCTGTACATTTTTTCTCACCGCATGCGACAGCGTGGCTCCAGAGACAATACCTAACCATTTGGGCGCGGCCGCGGCGAACGCGGCCGAGTTGATAGGTGCCCGCGAACTCAGCACAGCACAGTTCGCGGGCACCTCGAGTGCGTTTTCAACGGTTCGCGGGCACAATCGACTCGGCCGCGTTCGCCGCGGCCGCGCCCAAATGGTTAGGTATTGTCTGGGAGCCCAGACAAGCCAGTGATGACCTGCTTCTGACAAGGGGAAGGATGGTAGGTCGAAGTGGCCGTTCGAAATGAAATGTATACCCTCCTGATGCGTCTCCAGACGCTGATTCCAAATCTGCCTTCCAAATCTGCTAAACGACTCTCCGAACGGAGTTATGAAGCGTAATAGCTCAGTGGTGATGGTCCGGGGTGGCAGGTAAAAGCTCGTAGGATCGGTTCCTTTGCAAATTGGTTGCTTTGCTTTTGTCTCTAGAAGTGTTGCGGACAAAAGCAAAGCAACAAACTTGCAAAGGAACCGATCCTACGAGCTTTTACCTGCCACCCCGGACCATCACCACTGAGCTATTACGCTTCATAACTCCGTTCGGAGAGCCGTTTAGCAGATTTGGAAGGCAGATTTGGAATCAGCGTCTAGAGACGCATCAGGTGGTATACATCTCATTTTATACGGCCACTTCGACCTACCATCCTTCCTTGTAAGTAAATTCTTCGTTCATCCTGGAGTGTTCTCAATGCAATGCAGATTTATGCCGCGAGCTGATGGCAATTTGGCTGTTCGAAAATTTGTCTCGTATTGTTGTTGATTCCATGTCTTTGTCAAGGGAAAAACAAATATTATATCTGTAGTGACTTTTCTCCATTCAATGTGACAAGATCTCGTCAAGCTCAGTGAACGTAGACAAATTGAAGCTAACGGCATAACCGATTCCGTTGGAGCAATGAGCCTCTCCGACAATGAAGAGAACGATGCTTCCCTCACTCTCCAAAGTTCTGCAACAGAAGAGGGAACAGCTGCGAGCGAAAGCGGTACGTTTTGGAGGCTTTGTTTATTGTACCATATGCGAGAGGTTTTGATCGTTCGAATTGCCTTTCTTTTTCCATCGACGTACATATTAAAGTTTATAGACGCGAATCGTCCTGAGCTCAAAGCGGACGCATGGGCGGAGCTACCTAAACGATTTGGGACTACAAAAAAAGCAAGAACATAAGCAAATTCTACAGAAAAAGAAAGAGAACGTTCGATGACGCTCAAAGATGGTTAAACAACACAAGCTTTGAGGAGTATTGGGAGGTTAGTCCTGCGAAGAATTCTCAGGCTCCCATTTTCTTCACACTTGGGACGCGCGAGCGGATCCGCTCAGTGCAAGCAGCAAGTGGGTAATTTGAAAAGCGCTTCATTAGCCAGAGTTCGGTAGCTCTACCGACTCGGCTCCGCTTGCCGCGGCCGCGCCCCAAAATGCGAAGAAAGTTGGAGGGCCGAATTCTCCTTTGTAATAGAAAAGCCTGAATTCTCATTTGTAATAGATGATATAAGGATTAAATTGAAGTTGTCCAGGACACCGCGTCATATTTGGTTTATCGTTCTTGGTATGAAGATTACGGTGGTATAATGAACGAAAATGATAAGAATACATTAGCGAAGCAGATTGAGGATTGCAAACCATTGGCGCTGATTCCGGCGCACACAGATGAAGTGAGTTTCATTTAGATGATCAAAAATGCCTTACACCGAATCGTGGAATCAAAATCTTGAAAGCTAATAGTGCAGAAACATTACTAAGCTATTGAGATTTCATTTCCGTGATTCGTGTGAGTAATATCATTTTTGTACGTCCTATGAAGTGTTGTGAGATAGGAGAGTTACGACAAAGCTCGCAGCTTGCTTCTCATATGCAAACGTTTTCGTTTTCACTCTGTGTTTAGTGAAAAAATGAGCTTTTCTAAATCGTAAGCTTTTTTGATTTAAGAGTGAATTCTGAAATCGTGCAGTGACTTTTTTCGTTCATCGTTTTGCTGATAGCTGCGTTCCTATTCCGTTTCTTTTATGCTCGAGGCGTTGCTCGGCACAAACTATTTCACACTGTTTGCCACTTTGTGAACGCGAACATACAGATAAGGTCTTAAAAAAAGATTCATCCTTTACGGCATCCGTTTTTATTCCTTCCGAGCGGCTTATCTCTTTAGCTCCTTCCTCTGACACTATTCAAGATTGACGTAGGTTGTTGCGAGTCGGTGGGTCCAGGAGAGGGCTTGCGTGCCACGAATGAGGAAATCCTGGTAGTTCGCGAGGGGCATGAGCACAAACAGTCAACTGCTAGCAGCCCCGCGGCGACTACCAACTTAGAAATGAACTAACTATTTTAATAACCAACTAACTGACTTTGGCAACCACGATGCTAACTTTAACACTTGACTGGTAAGTATACGACATGTGGGTTTTACCCTTATTGCTAGCTACGGAACACTAACAAGAATAGAAATGTTCTTATGGTGTTGAACTACTTTTATACATTCCCATGAACTAGATATTAATACAGATAATGTTAGTAACTCCTAAACTAACTCACGTCGGGTCGCTTTCCTCGACCCGCCGATCGACCACGAATTGTTGAACTAGGAATAACATCATGAATAGGAGTTCTAAGGGCTAACGCCCTGGCAGAATTTTGAAGACAGAAGGGGAACACCGGGACAGGCCGTGATGGTGCCGTTGCGAACGGCCCGTGCGTTTCCGCACGATCACGGATAGATCAGAGTGGGTCATGTCTGCAGGACTTCGCAGGCGCCGGCGCGCCCAGGGTTCCGTTGGAGCGGTCTTCGTGGTACGCGACATAGGTTCTTGACCAGGTGCTAACCGTGAGCATACTGAATGGTTGACTGCTTTGAGACCTCAACTCAGAGTTCCTTAATTTACCTCAAAAATTTCTTTTCATCAGAACACTAAGAAAGTCTGCTTCTTTGTCCTTGTGGACGTTAATATTGGTCTCTATAAAATGTTTTTCGTAAACAGTCACGAATGTTGTTTAGCTTGAAATGCTTAATTCTTTTATAGTACATAGTTTATTTTCAGCATATTTCGAAATACTTTGGACTTACCAAGGGCGTCAACTTTTCTACTTACGAAGAGCTATTCGACTTACACTCAGAAAAGGTTGTGAAATTGGCTGAAAAAGATTTCGAACTTTTTCGCATTGCGCTCACCAGTCATCGTTGCAAGACTTTTCTTAGAAAGGTACTTACTTCTTTCTGCTTCTTTGTTAAGCGGGATCTATTCAGCATTTCTAGAAGTTTAGATTGAGAAGATGGGCTTTGTACCTGGCTACAACGAATCGGACGTAATTTCACCAGGTGACGGTGACAATAAATCAGAGTCAGCTGGAGATAGCCCCTGCACAAAAGAAGGTAAAACGAGAGCATGAAAGGCGTTTCCCGGTTATCTACGGTGACGATGAAGTGAGTTTTGTATTGTGGCGCTGCTAAATCAAGAAAAGTACAATTACCAGTTAATAGTTGAACATCGACTACGGCTTCTAGATATTCAGCGACATCTACTATGATCTTTACGATCCTTATGCGGCATCCATGAGCGTTGTCCTCAATAGGTGAGCTTGTAGATCGGTGATTTCCACGCATGCACGTTCTTTTTGTTTCTGTCTTACATGGTGCTTTACTTCTGATTATGCAGATTTTGATTTTTGAAAAACCTTTTTCTAGAAAAGAGGAGGCTAAGAGTGACGCAAGGCCAGCGGACCAATCAGAAAGTGTTGAAAATGAGCGACAAACTTCTAGTGAAGTTGATTACTGCAAGGCGAATTTTTCATTCGCGTTCGATCCTACGAAGGATGCTCATTTAGTTGCCAAGAATGCCTTTGAAGCCTACAGGGACGATAAGGTTGGTGGTCATTTGAATGGTGACCAATTTTTGAACTCCGTTGTTGAAATGCGTCATCGCTAGTGTTGTCAATCTTATAATTTTGTAGGAAATTATCAAGTATTGGTATCAGAGGTATCGCCTGTTCTCAAAACTGGACAAGGGAATTCTGATGGACCGAGGTCTGTTTGCTTATGGCGGCTAGTAATTTTCAGTGGTTCTAGTACTTCTACCACCAAATTTCCCCCGGTAACCGCCGGAGACAAACCTGGTGGTATCTAGCTTGCTACCCCTTTATCCCGTCCTCTACAGATTTGTTAGCGATATGCGTATTCCTCGAGCTTCCCTATCACTTCATTTTGCAGAAGGGCAGACGGTCATGCGTTTTCACATAGACAAACCGATACATCAAGTTAGCAGTTCATATAATAAAAGGGTTTATTACAGATAAAATTTTCATTTTTCTTGGTTCTTTAAAGCTTTTCCTTATAGAGGGATGGTTCTCGGTCACACCGGAACGGATAGCGGAACACATTGCTGATCGGATGGTTCGGCGACCGAATGTGTTGATTGTTGACGCTTTCGCCGGTGTAGGTGGAAACAGTATCCAGTTGGCGATGAAGGGAGCGTTAGGTGAGTTCAGGATCAGATTACACACCATAGCGCCTCATGGCTAATTATGTGAGAATTTTCGCCAGGGATGGTGAAAACAAAGGCAAAAAATAAAAATGGAGAGACAATGAATCCGAATTCCTTGGAATTCCGTCTATCGACGCACGTTTCGTAGAAATCCGCCCCGTGGCCGAAATTATATCGGGATGTTTTGGCTGGTTGTGTCGTCCGACTAGTATGCTCTCACTTTTAATTTACAGATTTTCTTTTTTCAGTAATAGCAATTGACCTGGATCCGGTTCGGCTGAAGTGCGCTCGCGAAAATGCAAAGGTATGGTTATCGTCCACACTCTTCCTTTTGGGTTTCATCTCAGCTCTTGTTTCAACAAGACACCGGTTTTTTTCATTTTTTCGAACAACCTGAATTTCCCCATCAAACTTCTATTACTTGCTCATAGTTTAATTTACTGTCATTTGAAAACCCTATTTAGTTTATGGAGTTAAGACCGTAATTGATTCATCTGTGGTGATTTCTTTCATTTTGCGGCAAAATGGACGAGTGGCGTTGGAAAGTCAGCAGAGGTGCAGTTCCAGCAGTTTCAAGTTTTGACACTTAAACATCTGTTTTTATTGCCAGGTTGACGCAGTATTCCTCAGTCCTCCATGGGGTGGACCAAGCTACCTGAAGTTGAAGGTGAGTAATGTTGGACAGAATCCTTAAGCATCTTTGCTATCTCCAACTATTTCATAGGATTATTGAACCTTGACGATCTCACCTCACGCCTACAACGTTTCGAACATCTATACTTGCGGCAACGAAAGATGTCGCCGAACATAGCTTATTTTCTACCGAGGAACACGAAAGTGAAACAAGTGGGTTCATAATTTAAGGATTGAAGTCTTTACTTGGGAGGTTTTAGGCACCTTCATGTAGGCATCAGATTCGAAATTATTCAATTATACGAAGTTATCTACAAATAATATTGGGTTGTCTCATAATTACTGTCGCAATTTCGACACTTTTGTTTATTCAAGTTTTATCTCTTCTGGGAAACAACTGACTAATAGCATAACCACCATCATGGTCACTGATATGCGTGCATTTACTAGTGGGCGTTGGAAGCTTCCAGCCCAGAATGAAGGAAACTGGGGGTTGAAAGAATGGAGAAGTCGTTTTTGGGGTGACCGCAATCTTTAACTTTCTTCTCTGGCAGATGCTTATTCAAAGCGCAGGGGAGGCGATAGTCCGATAGAGCGATGCCAATGCTATATGGTGGATGAGGTATCGTGGCCCTGGCTATCTCCCTCAGAACGTGGTGAGTTGGCATTGCAATGTGAGGTCTGGTGTACATTCGGAGAAGGAGG